TATATGCTACTCTGCAGTGGCTGTGTGGCGCTTCTTGTTTAGACGACAAGAGCTGTGGAAAGAAATACTGGACTTGTAAGAAATGCTTAAAACTGGAAAAATGGATTTGAAAATATTTTTCTGTTACTTCTTGTGGAAAATGATATTGAAGCCTGGAGATTTTTTTACATATTCTAAAAATCTCTTACGTAAGACTTTCTGCTTTGTTATTTTTATAGAGTAGTGGTTAAAATATTTTCCCTATCAAACAACTTATTAGTTCTTCGAATATATTAATGAGTCAGACTTACTCAGCTGTTTTCTCTTCCATAGACATCACACACAATTTTCTCAGGTATATGATACCTGGCAAAAATTAGGCTATGTTGTGGTTGTCCATGCAAGATGAACTTCAGAACATGTAACCGTGACATGTCTCTGTTCTGCAAAGCTGTGATGCCAGTTGTGCTTAACTATTTCTCCAGAGAGTTAGTGTGGTCGCTAGACCACTGTATTAGACTTTGGGAAAAATCACTTCTCTCATTTATACCACAATTCCCTCAGCTGTAAAATCGGGAAAATGAGACACTGGAATGTACAGATAAAATATAAGTAAAACACAGCTTTATAGAAGAGGGCAAAGCAATATTGGTATTCAAAAGAAATCTGAGATTTGATTAGACTTGATCAAGGTCACTCAGTTGGCTTGCGACGTTGCCAAAAGTAGAGCTTGGGTCTCCAGACATTCTGTCTGTTGACTCCAGCTGTCTTCCAGGTACTGAGAATGGCTGATGAATGTTAATAATGCGAACAGGACAAATGCCAGCAACTGCTCATTTCCATTTATTTTATTAAACTGAAGATTTTTTTTTGTAAAAAGCACACATTGTTTTGGGAGACAGGAAATGGATGAAATGGATTTATTTATAAAACAGGCTTTCATCACTCATATATTGTACAGCAATGAAGAGTGGAACTAAAATGGCTGTCTGGAAGCAGGAACCACCTGCTTATTTAATTTGTGTTCTGTTCTTGCGTGTGTGGTAGTGCCAGAGTTTTCTTCATCCAAAATCGCTTCAGAGATGCAGTGCTGTTCACTTTTGCTGGCCTAGCACCTGGAGAGGTGGGATGTGTACTCTCGCCTTTCATATGAGGAAAGGCTGAGGGAGCTGGGTCTGTTTAGCCTGAAGAAAAGTCTGAGAGGGGATCTTATAAATATCTTAAGGGTGGATGTCAAGAGGATGGGGCCAAAGTCTTTTCAGTGGTGCCCAGCAACAGGACAAGGGGCAACTGGCACAAACTGAAACATAGGAAGTTCAATCTGAACGTGAGGAAAACTTCTTTACTCTGAGGGTGGCAGAGCACTGGAACAGGCTCCCCGGAGGGGTTGTGGAGTCTCCTTCTCCAGAGATATTCAAAACCCACGTGGACGTGGTCCTGTTTCAGCAGGGGGGTTGGACTAGATGCTCTGCAGAGGTGCCTTCCAACCCCTAACATTCTGTCATTCTGTGTACTCTGGGAACAGCACACAAACCCCATGGAGGCTGCACAAGGATTTTAGTCATCGTTTCTCCAATGGCTTCTTAACAAGAGTTAAGGAAAGGCAATAGGTAAGCAAGACAGGTAGATGTGGATGAAAATGTTAGCTATTTCCTTTTTGAGCTATTCTTAAAACATTACTCAGAGGAAAAACAAGATGTGGTGGCAGGTGGAAAGCACCCATTTAATATTTATACTTCTCATGAAAAAGCAAGGACGGGATGGAAAGAGACTAAGCTCTGACGCCCTGCAGGAGATCCACCCTACCTGGCTACTCATTTTTAGCTGTGGGGGATAAAGTCGCAGGTACAGGCAGAGGGAGCTCAGTCCTCGCAGGCTGTCATTCCCAGTGGAAGATAGTAGGGTCAGTATGGGAGTACGAATGCCATTACCTTTTAATTAGGTAACATATAACTGCTGTATACTCACTTTGCTGTAAAAATCAAGTGAAAAAGAATATGCAGAAGCTGACTTCTGAAATGCGAGTAAATGAAAGCAGAATTCTTTTGGCAGGTCCAGCCAGTCTCTGAGAGTACACAGCTAAGAAATCAGAACTGGCCTATTGCCTATGGAGCTGATGACCCAGCATGGTCTCACTACAGTCCAGTGCAATAAATAGATAATTTTGTAACTTCTCTAGTGTATAAAGAATGTAAGGCCCGATCCATAAATAAGACTGCATTAGCAAGAAACTATGCAATCAACAATAAGCACACAGATTTAGCAACTTACTGTCTCTACACTCTCTTCTGTTTCAAGACATCTTCAAGAAACAAAATAGGCTTATATAAATCAAAATTGACTCCATCTCAACGCACATGTCGAAGTTAAATGTTGGAGTTAACTTCTCTGGTCAAGTTTCACAGCGCTTCTCTGGTCAAGTTTCACAGCTTTTCTGTTCAGAGAGTACTGAAAACTTGAATGAGGAAACTTTACTGGGGAAGTACTGGGTGAGGAAATGGGGGCACAGAGGTGAAGTTACTTACGCAAAGTTCAGACCAAGTCTGTGGCAGAGATCCAGGTGAAATCCAGGCCTCGTGGGTCCCTATTTGTTGCCATCACCATACTAGTTTTCTCTTTCCAAGGATTTTCAATGTCATATCTGAAGAGACTAACAAATCTGAAGGTCACAGGCTTTGTATTTGTTGGAAGGGAATACAGACATGATTTGCTTGGGGGAGGTTGAGTTGCTGGGGGAGACACATTGTTCTTTCTTCACACCATTCCTGTATTTATTTAGTTCATTTGCCCCTTTAATACAAGGAGACTGACCTCTGCCTTCTGGTGGATAGGGACGAAGTGACCTGTTCTAGGACCATTTTTCTGACAAAACTCTGCTAGTACATTATATGGAAAAATATTCTTAGAAGAAATTTGGCTTATAACAACAAATCAGTGGGGGGGTTTGGCAAGTTTATTTTAGCACCTTTTGAATTACAAAAATTTTTTCTCTTAGCCAAATAGTACCTCCTCATATTCCTAATGTGGACTGCCATGCCAACAAAAATTGGTTAGCTTTCGAGCAGTTAATGCTTCAGAGATGGAAAGTTATAGCATTACCACAAGTAAAGATTAAGATCCCTCTGACGTGCCATTTTTCTGGTACTTGTCCTTGCTAGATGGCATGTACTTATGGACCCTCTAATCTTGTAGTCAGCAGTAGGGTGAGGTCTGTGGACACTATTAGCTACTCGCATACAGTCCCATAGGAACCTCAGGAGAATCCAAGACAGCTGTGCCTGGGATGCTGCACACAGTGAGGGGAGGGAGAAAAGGGGGGGAAATTAATTTTTGCTTTTCTTTTGGCCTTTCACCACAAACTGCTGTTGAGATAGAGCAGTGTGGTGGCAATGCTTCCTTGCTGCCTAAACTCCGAGTTGCCCGAGTGTGATGCAGACTCCACACATGCTTTCTTCTTCGCCACTTTGTTACCAATTCAGACATGATCCTCTAAGAAGGTGTTACCTTTGATCCATTTTAACTGTCCTGCAATATGGTGTGGGAAGACTCGTACTTAAGTCTCTTAATTAATTACTCTTCATTCTCTTACTTCTGGTATAAGAAAAAGTAATAATTGTTAAATAACAAGTAATCCACATATTTTGAGTTTAATTCCTAGCTGTTATTAGCTACTTAAAATATTAACTTTCCACCCTAGACACTCCGATTATTCTATAATTTTTCCAAGCCATCCTTCTTGTAACAATGCACAGCAATGTTTTTCAGGTTCAGTGCACTTTCAATTAGCTGATTCTTTTATGTGTCTGGGAGGTAAGTTAATACAATTATTCCTAATCTATAGACAGTGTCGTTGTGGTGCATGTAGTATCTGTACCTGGAGTACAGGCCTAAAAGTACTCAGTGGACTATGTTCAGAAGAGAATAATCACCCATGCTAGCATGACATGCTAATTAGATTATTTAGGAGAATTAATCTACCAGATTATTACAATAAGTGCATGGGAGAGATAACAGAGTCGAGAGAAATTACAGAAGCAGGTAAATACAGACTTTATCAGCTCTTAGGAAGTTTTCACAGGAATGTCAGTGCAAAGACAAGCTTAGTATTTGTATAAGTGGGTTGGACTCCCGAAAGAACTAGCTGTAATATTGCAGTGCCACCAAGATGATATTTGCATGGTGTATCAATGTAAATGTAAACCGTAAAACTAAGGCCACGCCCAATCTACCCAAACCTCTGAAAGGCAACAGGGAAGCACATGCTTAACACAGACTGTATGTTAACCATGTGTCTCACAGCTTGATAACCAGAATTAAACGCTAGCATTATATTAGCCAGATGTTTTCCCCACAGCACCCTTCTGAGGGTGCTTTCCATTATGTATATAGTGCACATGGTATTAATTTTCTGCCCTGGTCAGAGCTGTACTTAAAGATCACCCCAAACAAGAAAGTGCCTTCAATGCACGTCATAAAACTGTATCAGCTACAAAACGGAAATGAAGCATATTCCCTCATCTCTGAGAAAATGATCATCGCTTGTATTTTTTGCTCCTACCAAAGGTGATGGTAAACTTCCCCCCCAGGTCCTCCCACCCATGCCAGCTGACTTTGTTGGGAACCGAACCAATCCCATCATTCTCAGAAATCGCAAGTGTTGTTTGAGCAGGCTTCAGCTGGAGGAGCAAAAAACTGCATTCAGCATCTGGTGATGCATCCTTTAGATTGCATCGACTGAGAAGATATTTCTCTGCTTGAAAGGAAGTAGTTTCCATACGAGCAAGAAATGCCTCTGATGCAGAAGATTCTTCAGTGTATTTTCCTATTTTGACTTGTCACATGAAACAGGCTATGTTCAAAATATGCAAATCATAAATGAATTTTTGTTGCAAATTTATTTCCAAAAACCTTAATAAGCTTAGGTGCTCCTCATACCTGCAAAGTAAGCATAATATTTCCCAACATAAATGTTAATGTCCCTTTTGAACATGAAAGATATTTAATTTTTTTCTATTAATATAAAGTTTTGTTAGCCAAACAGGTAATTTCCAGTTCTTACTCCTTCAAGAGTGTGCATTCAGGAAAGGGCCCTGACAGCTTTGCTCTTTAATGAAATTTTTTCTTCTGTTCATTGTACATACTCCCGAACTGTGAGTTCTTTCAGGCTAAAAACCCGTACGGGATCTTTTTTTGCCTTCCATTCTTCCAGTTTTTCTTGCAAAGACAGAAAATCCTTGCCAAGTTCATATGCCAAAGTGATCATTGTTTCCAACAATGGAATATAATACCTGTGGCCGGTACGCCCATGAAGACGTGATAGAGCTTTTTCTCCATAGTCAAAGGCACTTGCTGGGTTTTCCAGGTCCTTGTGGCACACCACGATAGCACAGAGAGTAGGGACAATTGAGACAGGGTTGCCTCTCGTCAGCCTTTCCTGCAGACCAATGACTTCTAAAAGGATTTCCAAAGCTTTGGTGTACTGGCCACCCCGCAGGCAGCCGTATGCTTCCTGAAGCTCCAGCCTTGTTAAAAAGTCGATAAATTTTTTTGATCTTCGGATATATTTCATAGAATACAGAAGTCTCAGGTAGTCCTTGAAGGCTAATTTTCTCTCGTTGATTATTTCTTCTGTGAAGTTCCCTGTTAGCGTTTTCTTGGGAAAGGTCACATCTTCCATTTCTTCACTAAACTCCTCCAGCAGATTTCTGTGCAGTTTCTCAAAATCTGAATAACGCCGTTCAATTACAGACTTGTTGCTGTCAAAACTCCCTGTTTGCAATATGATGATTTTATACATCTAAACACAATAAAACAGAAAAATAAGAATCAGAAGGGCCATTCTAGCCCTTGTGCAGTCATATTTTGTCTGTTATTGCTTTGAAAAGACTTTGTGCTTGTATATTCCACCATCTGAAACCTTCCTGCACCAATTTTATGTGTGTAATGTTGCATACTCTGATGACTTATAGCAGTGCTGCTAAATTAGTTGCTGCCTGAGATTATGGTGCATACTTTGTGTAGGCCTGATCTCTGAAATTTTCAGCCACCTCCTGCTGTTTTGGACTTTTGTCACCAGATTTTGCTTTAGCGTGTATGTAAATCGTGGATAAACGACGCACTGACAGATCCCATCCTGCAAGGTGCTGGAAATGGTGAACTACCAGCAGACTGAAGCACATAGACTCACTTTCAAAGCAGTTCTGTAGCTGTACTTTGTTTATAACAGCCATGGCTGCTGCAATCAATCATCTTCAGTGAACTGAATGGATTTCGCAGACTTAATATTGAATGTACTCTATTTTACCTTGGTCATAATACTCAGAAATGCTGTTTGTATCAGACATTTCCAGGGATTTTGGGGTGTTATTAATGCTGTGAAAGTAGAGGCAGTATTTGGCAGTAATTTTTGGTGTGTGCAAAAATAAGATGGAGCAACTCCAAAGCCTTTTTTTCCCCTCTAAATCATTGTCCTGTTATACAAACTTACTCGGCATATAAATAATGCAAAAAAAAGTGACATTTCTACAAAAATCTGTTTGCTATCCAAAATCCTTCACTAACGGCTAACAGCAATGCTGTCCCACATTAAGAGTACTTGAGTATGTCTTCCTCAGCTCTTCACTAGCCTCAGAAATGACTATAATAAATGTGGTATTAGAAAAATAGCTGCAAAATAAAATTGTGTGTTATGTGTTGTACAAATAGATTCTCTTCTTGTCCTGATCCTAGCACAATGATGTTGAGGAAGGGCCAAATCCCTGATGTGCGTAAACCAGTGGAGCTCCACGGAGACCAGCTTAACTGTGTCACCGCATACCAGCTAAGGACACAGACTGTTGACCTTCCTGGCTTTTGAATGTGACCATGTTCACATTCAACTTCACCCTGCTCCCACTGAATTATACAGGAACTGGAGCAGTTCTAACCGTGCCAGTTGTTTTCTTTGCTGCTGTTGAAGGGTGCAAAATAACACTTGCACTAGTGTCTGTCTGATTCTCTTCCTCATTTTTCCTTAAAGAAAAATTCTCTCTTAATATTCACAAATGTTTACAGGCACTCCTTGAAAGATTTCTAAATCTGAGCTGACTTCTCTGATGTCTTTTAATTTGTAAGTACTGTGACATTTTCCCATACCTTGTCCTGCTCCAAGCTGAAAAGTGTCTATATGCCTGATGCATATCCAAAACAATCATAAGAGCAATTTTTTAAGCTATCATTTTATCAAGGGCAGCTAAGTGAATAAGTACTTGGTTTTTTTATTTGTGGAGTGTGCATGAAAAAGGGAAGCAATACCATTTAATTATACTATCATTCAAATTGGCTAAATTTTATTGTAATGTAAATCTTTTTGGCTAGGCATGTAATTTGTGACCAAGTTTAACTACTTGCACATATACTGAGTGATACTGTTGTTCTCATACAGTTGTATTAAAATAATTCTTAACTGTTCAACAAGCTGGATACTGTTGAGTGTGTGCAAGGATGGCACCATCTAAGTAGGTGCCATTCAAATTCACACCTGCTTCAAATTCTACCAAACCGCATCACCCAGTATCAGTAACACTAGTATGATTCTTAGCGTTTTTCATCTACAGATGTCAGAGGTTGCTGCAAACAACGAAAACATCTCTATACGAATTTCACAGGGGTACTGACAAAGAGAATTGCTCTAGATCAGTCCTCCTGAAGGCCAGGAGCAGAATCAGAAATAAAAACCAAGTGTCAGTACTGTGAGTAAAGATAGAAAAATCCAACCTGTTCTGTTGTTCCTGTTCCTCATACTCATGCTTCACCTTGAAAATATGACACAAATATGCCATCTAATGAAGCTCTAGGTAGCGAAGGGGAACAATCCCAAGCGATCTAGCTGGAGGATGTCTTAGACTTTGTCAACATCAAAGAGTTTGTGCACTTGTGCTAACATAAATCTCTGACAGGGAAGTTATACAAATGCAATGCAGATGCTACTGCAGGCTAGCTCAGAGTAACTATATTGATATTTTTGTACTTGTGTGAATTTCCTTAATGTTGACATGCCTCTGAATGTTAAGGATACTCAAACTACTCATTTACTTGATATCACCTTTCCTCTGCTGCAGATTTTGTGAACTGATTGTCCGAGGTTTTTTCTAGGGGCAGATTCCACCACCTATGCCTGTACGATCAGTGAGAACAGGTTCCACTTGGTATGATCATGGCTTGCAAAACTTGGCCCTTGGTAAGGCTTTCAAGTAGTGAGGCATACTGTGTGCTATGCAGACCCCTGTAGAGTGAATAAAAGTTAATGATCTTAGGTTGACCATGAGCCAGCAGTGTGCCCTGGCTGCCAAGAAAGCTAATGGGATCCTGGGATGCATCAAGAGGAGTGTGGCCAGTAGGTCGAGAGAGGTTCTCCTTCCCCTCTACACTGCCCTGGTGAGGTCCCATCTGGAGTACTCTGTCCAGTTCTGGGCTCCCCAGTTCAAGAAAGATGAGGAGCTACTGGAGAGAGTCCAGCGGAGGGCTACGAGGACGATGAGGGGACTGGAGCATCTCTCCTACAAGGAGAGGCTGAGGGAGCTGGGCTTGTTCAGCCTGAAGAAGAGAAGGCTGCAAGAGGACCTGATAAATGTTTATAAATATCTGAAGGGTGGGTGTCAGGAGGATGGGACCAGACTCTTTTCAGTGGTGCCCAGTGACAGGACAAGGGGCAATGGGCACAAACTGAGGCACAGGAAGTTCCGTCTGAACATGAGGAAGAACGTCTTCCCTCCGAGGGTGACAGAGCACTGGAACAAGTTGCCCAGGGAGGTTGTGGAGTCTCCTTCTCTGGAGATATTCAAGACCTGCCTGGACAAGGTCCTGCGCAACCTGCTCTAGGCGACCCTGCTTCGGCAGGAGGGTTGGACTAGATGACCCACAGAGGTCCCTTCCAACCCCGAAAATTCTGTGATTCTGTGATCTTCTTACATATTCACGTCTAAGCTTACCACATATTTAGATAAGCGGTGCTCTACAATTCTGGTTGATGGGATTTCAAAAAGGAGTTTGACTTGTCTGCACTGGCGTTTTTCATTCCTCCAGTATTCCTGAAGCTCCTTAGTGGTCATCGAAGAGTTAGGACTTAGACAGGCATTGGAATCTAAAAACAATATATTTAGTATTTCAGACTATAGCCTTTGCATTTGGAAAGAAAAGTCTTATGCATTTATTGTGAAAGGAGAGCCTAGATTTTCTGTTGCTGTAACAGCAAGACCTAAAGACTTATAAGTGATTTCACTGCTAATAAAGACAGGTCCAGATTCTCAAGGAAAGTTATTGTAGTCTGAAACTTTGAAAGATACCAAATCGCCTACAGAATAGAAAATTATAGAAAAATTACTGACAAGAATGTCTAGGTTGTAACCTCAGGCACAGTGTGAGCAGCAGGTATGCTTCACCATCCCAGAAATAGCCCTAAGAAATGCCGACTCAGTCTTCTAAATCAGGTGTTTCTCCAGGCTTCTTTGTTGCTAAAAGGAGGAGACAGTAGAATGCAGCTTCAAATTCAGACATCTGTTCAAATACTGACCCTATTCAAATATTGAGTTTGTGCAGTAACAGCTGAAAGCTGAGAAAACATGAGCATCCTAACCTTAAAGGAGAAACCCAGATAACCAGCTCAGCTGAAGGAGGAATTCTCACATCCTCTTTCTTTTGTAGCTGAACTACTGCCACAGTTCAGCTACAAATATGTTACATACCTCCTTCCCTTCCTCTCTTTCTCCCCCCCCCAGTCGCACACACACAAGCATATATACATTCATATATCTAGAAATGTAGGACAGCTGGTTGAATAGTTTGCTTACAGGGGAATTTGATGCAGATTTTCAAAAGGGTGATTTCTCTGCCTTTGAAATCTACTGACAACAGTTTGCATCAGGTGGCTTATAGGCTAGCAAAGTGGATAAAAGAAATGGAATATTTGTATTTCAGTGGGCACACCAGTCCCAATTTCCAGTCAATAATGTCTCTGTCAATGCAGTCAGCTGAAGTCAGTCTGCAATGTATCTGACATTCAGACAATGGTGGTGAACGGCCACAAATGAATGGGAAGATAACAGCTTGATGCAGAAATAGAATTGTAGAGGCACCATAATGCCTTCAGTGGCCCCACTTTTACATGTTCTTAATAATTTGGCCATACAGTTTCAATTATCAAGACTTTTGGGGTTTGGCCCAGTGTCTACAAAGCATGTATTTCCTAAGGGAGGTGGTATTTATGGCATCTTTGCAGGCTGAAAATCTTGATGGGATTATATACGTTTTGTACTATAGATAACATTTTGTTTAATAACAGATGACAGCAATCTTAGGCATAGTAAAAGTTCAATGCCGCCTCTTCATAAAGCACGTGAGAGACTACTGCTTGAGATCAGCTTCAGTCTCGGGGTCCTTGCTGATACTGCCACAAAGTTCAGATTTTGTGATGTACAGAAAGTGCACTCCCGAGACAGGTCGTCTGATGATCACTGTTTTGGTCCCTGGTGTGTAACTTAAATCTCAAATACATTTTAGGTGTAAGGGATTTAAAAGGAAAGCTCCGTGTGTGTATATACACAGCAGAATGTGCATCTGTTTCACTATTGCTACATTCTTACTAAAAGTTCAATCAAGACTTATTTTCAGTGGAGTATAGCAGTGTAAATCTGGACTACTGCTGCAATAAATAAATTTTTTTACATAAAAGATTAATGGTATAAATAGCTACATGAAATATAAAATTAAAGCATAGCATCAACCTTGCAGGTCATCTCTTTCTGGGTTTTCTTGTCTCCCTTGACATGAGATTTCAGCTTTGGATTGATTTTGTTCTTCATCAGATGGACTTGTGGTAGAAAATGCAGTAATCCTGCTTACAGTTTCCAACAGCTCCCTTTCTGCTGTGCAGTGTGAGTCTTCATCCATTGCAAGCTATCACTGAAAGAGTACAAAAAATATGACATTTCTTGGTAGCTTGGCTTTAGAGGATCCAGTCTCATAATCTTTTGTGATTGACTTACTGTTCTCTGTGAACTTGTATGAGGGTAAACATAGTTTCATAAAAACTAAAGTAGTAAATAGAAATACATATACAGCTACCAGTGAAGAATCATTGCTATTACCATTACCCTTGAAAGTGTTTGGATATCTTTTTGGCAGATTAAAATCAAACATGAAAACCATAAGAAGTTGAGTAAGATTAGGTGGGGAATTCCGTTCTTATCTAGGAGAATTTTGTCATAAACTTCAGACTTTTTCTCCCTGTATTTTGCCCTCCAGCTTGCAAGTATATGCTCAGATAAACTAAAATTTTGGAGATAATTAGTGTAATTAGCAGCCTGGTTCTCTTATACTGCTCAGATTTACTGTTCTCAGGACTCCAAAACTTGTCACCTGTTCTTACTCACAACCTGTAGCACAAAATAAGGTGATATCTAAAATAGTACAATACTTTTGTCATATTTCAGTTTCAAGCTCTCTCCAGAGACTTGTCTCTGTACTGTGAGAACAAAATAACTGAATCTGAAAATGGCTAGGTGGACGGAGAACCAAGATTGCTCATTGTTATACAGAAGTATTCTCCCTTTTCTTGTCTTTTTAACCTACGTACTGTGCTTGTAGTAGATCTGTATGCCTGTTCTGCTAGGACTACTATTTTACCACATACTGATAAAATGGCTAACACAATATACTCTGCAGACCAGACTGGCCATTCTGCCTCATAAATGTCTCCCCAGGATGTCTTTTTTAAAAACAAACAAACTCAACCTGTTCCACCACTGTGTTATACCAGCAGCTGAAAAAGTTCTAAGAGTATCATAACAACTTTGCCACGGTGCTGTGTTCTTTTAGTCAGCATGAGAGAAGTGTTGCTCACAATTCAGCCAATGGATGAAAGTCAAACAATAGAACAACCTATTAAAAAAAAACCAAAAACCCAAAACCCCAAACAAGTCTCCCTGCTACAAATGTAGAAATTATGCCCATGCAGTGGTTATTAAGTAATGAAAGGGTTTAGGACAGGGATGTTACTACATACCATTTTGCCTCTACTTGTCTGCCATGCACTTATGCAATGCTGGCTACAGAGGTGAGGAAACTCAGCAGATCTATTGATTTCTGGCAAACTTCAAGGTTATAAAAAGAAAAGCGATTACTTTCCTCACTGGAAATAATGGAAGTGCAAACCACTTTCGTCTAACAGAAACCCTTCCTTTGCCTGGCTTGGACAAGCAAGTACGTACATGTTGTCATCCTCCTTAATAAGAGCACCACGGAAGCCCTTATTTTTAGACTTTGAACTAGGAGGTGAAAGTTCTCATTGTTCTTCTAGTCCTCCTTAATATCTGCTTTTTGAACATGAAGAGTGGCCACTTACTGTCTAACTGCTCAGTCTTTTGAAAATCATGGCAGTTTATCCTAAGGGCATAAACTTACAAATATTTCCTTTTAATGTAAAGATCATATCAAATATAGCAGATTAAATAAGGGATTTGAAAATGGCCAAACAAATTTAAATGACAACTTTTGTCTTGGTTGTAAGTCGGTATAACCTTATAAGTAAAATTGTATTTATATTCAAGATACGTATCTTTATATATGTACAACATTACATACATAAAATGTGTACATATATGTGTCTGTATATATGTAAAAATGCCATTTTAAAACATAACTTAGCAAAGAAACACAACACACGTAAACAGAAGAATGCAGAAGTGAATATTATGATATACAAGTCTTCTGCCTTGAATACATCTGCCTTGAAAACTATCTGTGCTTCATATAAACAGTTTCACTTTCACAGCTAAAAATCATCGTAAGCCCTTTTAACTAGGCTCCGATTTATTTTTACGTGTTAAAAAAATTCAGAACAATACAAAACCCCTGCAAAAAATTACACAACTTTACTTCGAACAGACACTCGTCCTGTTCCGTTTCAGGGTAAATGCCACTCCAGCTGCTTCACTGAGTAATAAGTAACGCTAAAAACCGAAGTGCACAGAATACTCACCTGGAAACTGCGGAAGAGCTTTTAGTCGTGGTGTGTGTGTAGTCTGTAGGAAGTCATGAAAAACCTGCTTCGCATTTTCAAAACGCAGAAAAATATGTCTGTGCCTTCTCCTAACAGGCACATTCTGTGTTTTACAAAAAGGAAGGAAGAAGCCTTGATTAAATCAGACTTCCTCGTCCAATTGGCTCACTGGCTCAGCGCTGACTGATTACGCATGAAATCTGCTATCTGCCTCAAACAGCCCTTGCGCTGTCTGCGGGCGAGGCACGGCCTGGTGGCTGGCGTGCAGCTCCAGCAGCAAGGGCAGGTTTGCAAACCCAAGGGTTGGGATTACACCTGCAAACACAAAGTCTGGCAGAGGAAAGAGTTCAACAGTAAATACAATTACAAAATCAATGAAAACTTCTCTGCATGGGTTTCTGAAACCAGAAAAAACACACATAGCAAAAGAGAGATTAGGAAAAAAGAACCAAATATGTAAATGTACTTACGGGGAAAAATATGCCCCTCAGGACATCTTAAAATACAGACTTAACATTCAGTTCAGAAAAGAAAATGCAGACGGTACCACGATAAATATCCTCACTCTATGTAAACTTGCACTTCTGTCAGAAATCCCAATTCCACACAGTGCTTAAGCATATGATTAATTTCAAATATGTGCTTAATTAAAGTTCAAAAGGGAGCATTATCATATCTGACATGACTACTAAACTTGAAATGGGTTTACGTGCGTGCCTAAAATTAATCCTGTGCTTAAATTCTTTGTCAAACTGAGGACAAAGCAAAGAAGAATGATGCTTTAATCCACACGTCCTTTGGCACAGATACTTCCTTTTGCAGTTCACTTCACTTTGGAAATTTGCTTTAAAGCATCAGGATAGCTATTTCTGGGGTAAATAATATGGATGCTATCTTTTTTTAGTAATGTAAGTTTCCCCATTGCCAAAGCTCACTTACTGAAAAACCAAGCGATTTTAATGCAGCACAAATGTGGGAGGCAAACATCCAAAGGACCACATGGATCCTGCCCCACACATTCCTTTAGAACAAACAATTTAAAATAATGTAAAACCAGGGCCATAAACTGGCAGTGCTTCTCTTCTGCTTTATTTGCAACATAAAACAATGCCAACTTTAACTTGGACTCAGTCTAAGTGTAGACGTTTTGCCAAAATAGCTGTCAGAACGATGAAAAATCACTCCCACGGAGCCACAGCCATACTGGCAAAAGCCGTAGTGTAGACGCCGTTACATTGGCAGAGTGCTTTAGCCAGTTTAGCATGTTCCATGAGGAAAGTGATCTAAGTTACACCAGGAAAGAAGTCTATGCTTGCCAACACAGCTCTAAGGTGTAGCTATACCAGCCAAGCCTTTAAAGTGTAGACAAGGCATGGGTTTCTGGCTCAAGTCTCATTCCTTTAAAGTTAGGATTTATGGATTTGGTTACAATTGTGTGCAAAAACCAAGGGGGATTTCAGTGCATTTCACTCACGCTGACAGTTCGCAGATGTATCTAAGCTTTCAATTCTGAATCTGTTAATTTATGTGTTGCCAAAAAGCAATGTATTATTTTGTGATGCTTAGGGCTATTGTCCTGCTTTTGATAAAGCTAAAAGAAAAGAGGAAAGTGGACTTTTTGACTATATTAAGTATGACTTCTACTTTCAACTATTTCAGAATAAGTAAGTCCTAGTGAAATTAACTTGGATGATTAAAAAGAGTGAAATCTGTTATTACGAGCATGACTAGCTGATATGAAATAATTTACAAATCAAGGTGTTCTGCAAGAACTCTGCCTGCCTCACTAGTGCCAGCTGTTATGGTCACAGCCACTTCCTAAATGGGTTTCTCATGTCCAGGAGCCATGACATCCACAGCGTGTTTAAGCAGGCTGCTCCTCCTCATCCTGCTCCCGTGAGCTCGGGTTTGGTCCAGACAGCCCCTGGCCCTGCACTGGAAGGGACCCAGTGCTGTTAGTCTGGCAGCATTTTACTCTCCTAAATGTCTACTTGATTAGCACCTTCAAAAACAGTCTACAGCATACAGTGGTGTTGCTAGCAGAATGCCTAAGTAGTATCTTTCTATATTCTGAGTTCCACTTCCAACAGCCAAATACTACGTAAAGGGTTAAGCAGTGGGAAAGGGGAATTTTCACAATGGCAGAATACCGTTCTGAGAGACGGGCTAGTGCACTTACACCATCAATTCATCTGACTATTCATAAAACTGTGGTAAACTTTAACGGAAAAGCATGTTCTGTCACAGTCAGTGATGGAAAAGGGATCCTCACGCACTGGCTTGCTCAGAGTTCGTATTCTGTGAAAGCATTGACTTTGGCAGACATAAAGAGCACAGTGTTAAAACGCATCTACCACAGGATATGGAAAAACAGCGCTCTGCAATAACATAGGAGCGAGGCGAGGTTAAAATTGTAACGCTGCACTGCATAAAAGTGGTTGTCATAGGAGTTAGGTCCTCCATACCAATGTAAGATGACAGGACTCATTTTTGGAAGACTAACCTGAAAGCTTATGTCTAAAACATGATAACCAGCCATCTGATGAGCTAGCCTTGTGATGCCATGTTAATGATGCCTATATTGAAAGACCATGTTTGTGCTTTTGATGGTTGAAAAACCAGAAGGGACTGCTGCAATAGTGTAAAATGTCCCACCTTGATTTATACCCTGATTTGGGCAGTTCACATATCCCCTATCAGACAGATCACATCAACCCAGACAGATGCAACATTTAACCATAGAATACAAAGCGGGTATCACCTTGAAAAATCGTGAGATAAACAAATGTTATACACAAACTGCAGTTTACTGCCAGATTTTATTGGTGTTTTATTACAGGCTCAGCAAGGTCTTATTCTTGTTAAAGAAGGTGGCTGTAATATCCCTATCACAAAA